GAAAATCACATACACACACACACACACACACACAGCTGTCTCTTATACACATCTAGATGTGTATAAGAGACAGCTATAACAGATTCTGGGGAGCATCAGTCCGGTTCCTATTCCACCGGCAAGTCAGAATAAAATGATACATCAAGGAACACTCTCATGCTTCCTTCCGTCTGGCCGAAGGAACCCTGATCAGCATTGATGACTCCCACAACGTGGAGGATTGACTGACAGCTTGCCCTGCTTACACCTTTCCTCTCAGGACTACTATAAGATCCTCTCAGATAAACCATGCTTCAACAAGAAAGGTCTGAGAGGCTGCAACTGTTGCCAATACTGTCTAAACCCCAAGTCCCGCCATCAAGTGTCATGAAATCCTTATCATTCTATCCCCTCCTTGTCTTGTTTCTGTCCAAAACCTCAGTCCTAAACCCTAAACCCTAAAGAAAGGGTCTAGCCCCTTAAACCACCCCTCTGTCCCGCATCGTGCCCTAACCCCCCACATTTTCCGATCATGCATATAAAACAATTCCCTTTTCCTACACCCCCCTTGATATCTATCAATCGCCCTCCACCCTGTTTGCTTTGGTGTAGTCCAGCTCTAGCTCCATCCATCTTGGGCAGTTACGTTCTGCCAAAAACCGCTGTTTTAAAATGTTTTCACTGGCCAAAACCCTTGGACCCTAACGCCCCTGAGCTGTTACCCGATGGTTAAGACCCTAAAACCCTAACCCCCCCCTCATTCTTTATCGTGATAACCCTTCTCTGTTGTGCCTCTTCCTGATGGCTGTGAACCAAGGGTACTCTTTGCGTTCTCTTTTCCGATTGTACGGTGTGTAACCTGTCCCTCGTTGATACGGGGGAGTATCTGTTCTGTCCTTAGTCAGCAAGTGTGTCAGCTCTTGTTGCCCTCTCCCTTGTCCGGCCGGGATCTGTTTTGCAACGGTCATGACGGACCTAGGTCCCTTCCTCCCAACACCAATCTTAATCCTCCTTACCTKTCCTCTTGGCTCTCGTTCCTGTTGCCTGGTATCCCTTACTCCCTTCAACTCAGCTGCCTGTCTGTTGTAGGCCCAGTCTGGGTTCTCCTGTCTTT